AGGCACGCACATTGGCTTGGGGAAGTTGATTTTACGACAAAGTCGAAGCGCAGAAGCCATAAAATAACTTTCAATTATGTGCGGAATGATATGGTGAGTATTATGCCTGATTAAACCAGAGCCAGATAGACGGACAGTCGGACGCTCAGACACAGGCCGAACAGTTAGCCAGAGGCATGACCATAAAGGGCCCAGCCGTCGACCCAATAGAAGCGGCCCACCAAAGTCCATAGAATCAGAGAGCGCAGCTGGTGAGTGTGTGGGAGGCCTGGGCCCTTTGGCTGGCCACAGGTGAAACTTGCTACAACTTGCGCTTTCCATGACTTTGACAACAAAACGCAATGGCCAATAAAGCTGAGCGCTGAAGCGGAGGCCGCAAAGAGCGTCGCGTATGTCGCATACGCAATTCAATTAACAAAGTACCGACGTATAAAAACCAAGCGCTGGCCGGGCCACATTTGCATAACCCATTGAGTCGCCAACGCGTGCGCAGCTTGGATCGATATATACTGAATATACACTGAAAGGATGCAGAGTTACGTCTGGCTAATTGGCGCCTTGACCGCGCTGGCCGCCACCGCCCTGGGCGCCACCACCCAAACGCAGCCGACAACGCCGTCGGCCACACAGCTGGCCCTGGACATGTACCATGGCTGCCTCAAGGATCTGAGCATCTCGTGCGTGCGCCCCAAGGCTCTGCAATGGTTCAATGCGGCGCTGCAACAGAATGAGGTGCGTCTAACTGACCGCCTGTCGGTGGTGCGCACCGCACAGCAGCAGCAGCCCGAGGCCAGCAGCACCACTGGTCGTGCGCTCAACACCGAGCAGCAGCAGCAGCAGCAGCTGATCGACAGCATCGACAGCTATTTGGCCAGCCACGCCCTCAGAATTCAGGCGCCCGAATACTTCCGCAGCTCCGAGGCACGCGCCCTGGTGCCCGACTATCTGCTGCAGAATCCCCTGACCCAAGGCGGTCTGATACCACTCGGCGCTGCCAATGAGGGTAAGTCTGATCCCAGCCGCAGCTTTAATTCGCTTACTCACACGCATACACACCCCCAGGACGTGGCATGATACGCAAGGCGGTGCTGCCCTTCCTGCTGGGCCTCAAGCTGAAGACGACGGTGCTGATGCCGCTGGTGCTGGGCCTGATCGCGCTGAAGACCTGGAAGGCGATGACTCTGGGTCTGCTCTCGCTGGTGCTGTCCGGTGCTCTGGTCATCTTCAAGATCGCCAAGCCCAAGATCGTTAACTACGAGGTGGTGCACTATCCCCATCAGGTGGAGCATGTGGTGCCGCACCACATCGAGCACATTGTGCCACACCACATCGAGCACATCGTGCCCCATCACATCGACCACCATCTGGACCACCATTTGGATCATCATGTGGATCTGCCCGTGGAGCATATTGAGCACTTGGAGCATCCCTCGCCTGCCTGGGACCCACATGCCTGGGCTCGCTCCTCCCAGGAGCCCCAGGACGCCCAGGACATGGCCTATGCGGGACAGAAGAGACGCTGAAATCGAAAATCGAAGGCACGATGCGAGGTCTTTTACAATTTGCTCTATTTTAAGTAGTGCAACGTATTGTTTTTATTTATTTATTTATTTATTTACTATTTATGAAATGTACAAAACAAAAATGAAATGAAATGAAAAAAAAAAAGAAACTGAAAGTAAGATAAAATCCATAAAAGGAAAAAGGCAAATCCCGAACATGTTTTGCAGACAGCTGAGAGGGGGAGGGGCGGGCATAAAATTGCAATAAAAACTATGCAAAAGTCATTTGGCTAATTGAAGGTATTGGACGCCAAAGTTTGTGGGGCCAACGTGAACTGTAATTAGCAAATGTAACAGGCTCTTAATTAGGGCACTCCGAGTTACTTGCTAATGCTTGCATTAGCCGGGGTCTTAACGCACTTAACCTTTGACGGCCAACACACACACACACACACACACACACAGACACTAATGCAAAAGAGAAAAGACCAAAAGGCAAACAAGAGTTGGCCGAATGTTAGCTGTAAATGAGTCCAGCTCCAGCTGGGCCAAGTCGAGGCAACGGCTGTGGCCTTAAAGTATTTGCAGCGCTGAGCTTAAGCGCAACGTGCCACGCACTCAGCTCGACAGGCGCCACATCCTTGCAGCCCATTTTCAATTTGTTTATTTGTTTTTCTTTGTCGTTTTTTCGGCACATTCGTGAAACAAATGAAAATTGATTTCGTTTTTTTTGTCTCTCTTGAGTATTTTATTTTTGCCTTTCGCCCCGCTTATTTTTCAATATCAATAGCTGCCAATGGAACAGTTAAGCACTCACACGTGGCCATCGAGAAAGTTGCAGCGCCAGAGACAGCAGCAACGACAGCGACGACAGCAACGGCACCAACGGCAGCGACAGCAGCAACAATGGCTGCGTGCAACTATGCAAAATGGCGCCAGCGCCAACAACAGACGCCACAGCAACCACAACAGCAGTGACAACGCCAACACTGACAGCAAACACTGACAGCAACAGCAGCAACAGCAACAACAATAGCTCAGCTTGCTCTGAGCGCATATGCTCGACAGGAAGATACCCTAAGATAATCAGAATTAAATAAACTGCGAGCTGATGCTGCTATGAATATAGTTGCCTTATATGCGCTTACAAATATTTATCTATTTACGATTATCATTATTGGATACAGTTCTTTATATAGAGTTATATAATATTATATCTACATTTATCAGTGTACTACTGAAAGATGCTTCTTCTTGCTCTCGAGAAGCCTCACACGCCATAAGAAAGGCTTTCTTGAAGAGATTCCTTACTTCACGATCAATAATTATGATTTTCCTATATCTTGGTACAGAAATATGACATCAAAAGGCATAAATGCTTAAGTATATTTATTAAGAATATTTACATTAAATTTTTCAAAACAAATTTAAAAATGCATTCAAATACAAAACGAATTTAAAGATCTCAACTGCAAAAGTCTACGACCTATGAAAAAATATCGAGATATATATTATCGATTTTATGGTAATGCCGAAAAGTCTCAAAGAAAATATAAATATAAGATTCAAAGTGTCTGGCGGTTTTTATAACCACAATAGACGCGACAGGCTCTTAGGCATAAAATATAAATAGACTGCAAGACAGACAGAGATAAGCATATGCATTGACAAATATTGTCAACTCTATCATCAAGAGCGAGTCTAATAAAAAATATATATTGATGTCTGATGCCACCGCACTCCACATACTGCCGCTAGCCCTTTGCAATCACATCCCGGGCGTAAACATCGGCTATAGAGTATATGGCTTCTCGTGCTGGCCAATACTTCATTGATATTTGACTTGACTGCTATCGCTTGGCCGTTTCTACGCAACAATTTGATATGCGAAATGAACGAAAAATACAAAAAAAAATAAAATAAAAAAAAATACAAAAAATTAACTTTTCCAATTTCATTGGCAAATGTTGGGGCTTCAGCGGCTGCCAAAATGCGCTCGGAATTGCAAATCAAGGGCCAATGCGTGGTGAAACTTTGGCTCCACCACAAGAGTGAACAGACAACCAAAAAATAAAAATATATATGTATATAAAAAAAAAATTAAGTAAAAATAAAAAACATATATGCACTGAATTAAACTGATATCAATTCCAATTTCGTGGCAGGCCAAAAAGCGTAATCAATATACGAGATTCATAATTTACATGTTGCAACACGCATATTTCGATATGCAGCGCGTGTCGTTGGCGTGTGTGGCTGAGTGGTTTGTGTGCGGCTGGGTGGTGCAGGTGGTGCGCTGCTGGCGTTTCGTATCTACAGCGCATCTGCCGTCACTTTCGCTTTCGTTAAGGAAAAACACTTTCTACATCATTGGCATGGACCCAGCGTAGTCGCGCTGTTGCTCAACTTTGGCTCGAACCGCAGCTCAGTGTTTATCAATTATTAATTATAAATTGTCGTATTTATTAATTACACAATTTGTTGTATAAAATATGCCTTGCATTTATTTGATGACTAGTTTTTGAGCAACCACTGAACGGCCTATGCCTACCAAAATGCTGCTCACCAAACAATAAATGTTGCCTATCTTTCTGCTTGCCACACACAATGGGGCAGAAATGATGACTTCAGAGTTGAGTTTTATGGATGAGACTATTGCTCATTGGAGATTTTGCTTAAAAGCTATTTTAGTGTAATCAAAATATGCTTGTTATGGTGATGATATGTTACTTGGTGAAGGATTAGTTATTGTAGTATATATACTATATATAGTTTGCTTTAGCACATTTTACTTCGTAAGACTTTTAAGTTGAGCGCAAACTTATTTCTTGTAAAATATATACAGAAGATTGTATTTATTATCTGAAAGCTGATATCAGAGATTCAAAAGCAGATTGAAGCAATTGAACTGTACTCAAAATATTAAAATTTTTGTGTTTAAGTTTATTTAGATAGTACACAAAAAATAAAAAATATAAAACAAATACAAAAAACAGTTAGATATCAATTTAATAATATATTATTATATTATATTATATTATATTATATTATATTATATTATATTATATTATATTATATTA